TTTCCTCCAGATACTTTCAAAAAGCTGTTCTGCGTTCTGGAAGTGCGTGAGTAGATAGTGGTTTTAAAGAATTTTTCCAGGCTGGGTTTGTTCATGGTCCAAAAGGTGCTTGGCAGCAGAAGGCTGGGCTGGGCTGGGCTGGCAGCCTCTGCCTGTCCTTGTTAGTGCCGTGGCCGTTGCGCAGCTCTGCTCTGAGCAGCCCGCTCTGCTTGGTCCTAAAATGCTAATCACCGATGTTCCGAAATGCCGTTTGGATGGAACTTATTTTTTAAAAGATACAAAGCACAGTAACACTTTTGAAGAGCAGCTGTGGTTCTGCAAACGCCAACTGTAAAGTTGTTCGTTGGTGCTCTAAATTCCACAGGCCAGCTACCCGATACCCTTCTCTTGCGATTTTGAAATGCCCGTATGTCTGTAATGACCCTGCCTTTCTTCTCTCTTGAAGAAATACGATCCTTCAGATCCTGCCTATGCTTATGCTCAGCTAACACACGATGAGCTGATCCAGCTGGTCCTGAAGCAGAAGGATGCAATTACCAAGAAAGATCTCCAGGTGCGGGAGCTTGAAGACTACATCGATAACTTGCTTGTCAGAGTCATGGAAGAAACCCCAAACATTCTTCGTGTTTCAATGTCTGGAAACAAAAAAGCTGGAAAGATGTAAAAGCTCTCGGGACGGTGGTTGAACAAAGGACTGGATTCCCACCAGTGGAGTTTGATTAATAAGGAGACGACGTGAAGTAGGTGGTACCGGTTGTGCTGCCCATGAAAATGACCTCTTTCCTGTTTCTGCCTTGAGCAACTCTCAGTGTGATTAGTAGTTACATCAGGTCTCGTATACGGAGTCCAGAAGTGGAGTCAACTTATCATATTTATTTTTTGGTTTCTTTCCATTATTTGGGAAGATTTGGTCGGGCATCTGATCCAAAGGCTGATTGTGATAGGAAAGATGACGGGTTTTTGATGTGTTTTGCTTGCCAGCAAGGCACTGATGATCCTTTATGAAGATTTTTTCATGGTTTTGTTTTGTAGCAGCTTTGATAGATCAATCAACTCTTCTTTCCATATCTTAAGTTGTAGTGCAATATAAAATCGTGTACAGTAGAGCTTGAGGATTTGATTGTTTTTGAAAAAAAAAAAAGAATAATAACTACACTGGAGAAGTCCAGAGATGTGTGCTTCAGAGCAGGGCTGTGTGGGCTGTGTTTTAAAAGTGATTAGTGCCCTAAAAGTTGAATGCAAGGTAAACCTTAGATTGGAAAGGAAGAAGCAAAGCTTAGGTAATCTCATAAAGTACATCTTGTTTCAAAGCAGTTCCCCAATGGGAAGGTTTACGGGTGGCTTTGGTATAGGAAACACTGAGATGTCATGGTACGTTTGTCTACCATAGGAATGGTAGTAATGAATTTTGGCCAAAGATGCATTTTAAATCAGAAGCTGTTCTCTTACAGACTTCAAATTCCTGATTCAAAGGTCGTTCAAAGGAGGGAGGCAAAGGTACGCCTGGTTTCTGCTCTGTAGTCTTACATAGGTGTGGATTTCACAGTACATGTGTGTGGCCCGTGTCTCTTGCTGTATGGGAGTTCTGTGACAATTTTTCTTTGACACCATTGCAGTTTATTAGAACTAAATACCTTGAATTGTGGAGCTGGGGCTTACCTTGGAATGACCTTTAAAGGTGATCATTAGTCTTGCAACGCTTTCTTCTGTGCATTCCTTATACAGCCCTCCCCTGGGGAGTTGAGCTAGTGCTCAAATCTGATTTGGTTCTCTTTGTGGCTGGCTGCTAAGAATGGAATGAAAATTGTATGTAGCTGAGAAAGAGTGCTGGTTTCGCTAGACAATCGATACCTCTCAGTCTGCTTCCTTAATGTGTGGCTGCTTTGCAGCTCGATAGAGACAGGTACGTTCTCCTCCCCATCTCATCGGACAGCAAATAACAGCGTAGCGCTATCGAGCAGCCACCACAACAGGCTTCCTCCCCTGTAAAACTGAATGTGGCTTTTTTTTGGCGAGCTCTTGTATAAGATCAAAGAAATCAGGTGCCTCTCTGCATCTCTGGGATTTATCAGGGTTGCAAGAGTCCATAAAAGGCTTCGAAGAAAGTTGAAATACCAAAAGAGTGGGTAGCAGAGGACCAAAGCAAATGCTCCTACCTTTGGAAGTTGAAAGGGTTTATTGGGTCACTCCTGGCTTTGCTCGACAGGGGTGAGTTCTAACTCAGTTTTTCTGCAGCAAAGCACTTTATTGAGGGACTAGACCAGCTGGATCAATTACCAACTTGTAGTAGTCTGCTTACTATTTTCATAAAACACTGAAAACTACTGGGGACTTCTCAAATACTGTATTTTTGTAGTGAAGAGTAGTTTAATATATTTGCCTAGAGATGTATACCTTTATTGGAAAATTCAAAAAATGCTGTTAGTTACATTTTTATTACTGTAAACTGACTAACTACCAAAGTCTGGAGCTTTTCTGACAGAGCTGTCCTTCACAAGAAGCTTGAGTTGAAACGAGCCTTAAGAGTCTTCTAAGACTTCGGGGACTTCTTTTCTAATTTTATTTTTACTTGAGCGGATGTCTTCAGTGAAGGGGTTATTTCTTTTCTACTGTACCCTCTTCTGTGAATGAAGGGTCTGGAATGCAGAAGGTCTTAGCGGCATCTTCAGCTCTTGTCTGGTGGTTTTAATTTTGAGTGGTACTGGTTTGCCTTACTGAAAACTGCTGCTGCTTCTCGTGCCTTGAAGTAGTGAGGAAGATGAAGGATTAATTTGCTTCCTCCTTGTGCCTCAGTGGATCTCTGGAAAGAAACAGTTGCCTATACCTCACTAATGAACTTCTAGACTTTATTCCACACCTTTCTGATGTTCTAGGTCAGAGAGTCAGAAAAAAATGGTTGTGCCTTTGACTTAACGGTTCAAAAATGGTATTATTGGTCATCGTAACTGGACACATGGGAAGCAAGGCTGGACTCTTGCTTTCTGCTGGCCTCATCTTAAACCAGTGCGGGTACTACTGAGCGGCTGGCTGCTGGCACCGCGGTGCTGTGTGCGATGCTTTTAGAGTACGGATTTTATGAAGTTTGGATCATGTGTGTTCCTGTTGGCAGGAATGTGCATCTTAAAGTTACATGCACAGAAACAAAGCGGTAATATGTGCTCTTAGCAGTCTCCGTGGCGATGAAGCCTTAAAACTCATAATATCCTCTCCTGGCAGCCTTTTTTGCCAGGTACAGCCGTATTTCTTGAGGTGGACCCTGGGTTGTGTCTGGCTTTTGCCCCTGGAGTTGTTCTCTGGGGTGGTTGCAGGTGTCGAGCCTCCTGCCAGGGCAGCACAGGCACTGCTGCGGGGCCACGCTCCTGCCCCAGCCACGCTTCGGCTTCCACGGCTGTGAAAGCATTGCACAAACCTTGTACCTCAGTCTCTTATTGGCAATACTAGTTAAAGCCTTTCTTTGGCGGAAGGGGACTGGCATTTTATGTCCAGCAAGGTGCTTCACCTTGACTTTAAGGGCCTGAAGAATCAAATGTATTGTTTTATTATTGAAGGATCTGAATGTATTTTTCTCCGTTTATACTGTCTGCTTTTAGCTTGGGTACCTATTTGTATTTAAATGCCTTTTGATTTCATGGAACACTAAAATAAAAGTACCTTAAATCTAGTGTTCTGACCACTTTATCTTTTTTCTGAGAGCAGTTTCAAAAGGGCTTCATCCCCTCCTCGTGACCAGCTCTGCTGCCCGAAACTCCTCATCCTCAAGGTATTTTTGCGCTAGTTCCATCCCTCCAGGAAGTTCACGGTAAACACTTTGCAGGGTGGGGAAACCTGATGGACAAGCTCATCCGCATCATGAGCATCGAGAGTTTCTGTAAAGAAAGAAAGAGAGAAAAAAAAAAAAAAATGTGTGAAAGGTTTGTTGGCCAGGAGCCAGCGCAATCGCCCCAGTCCCCGGCCCTTGATTGTAATGGCCCTCAAATTGTGGGCAGCAGATGACAAGAGAAGAAATCAGCCTCCTGCTGTCTCGGGGCCATTTAGCCTGAAACCCATCTGCACCGCTGGAGCCCTGAGTGCTGTCATCGCCCTCGTCCTCCTCTGGTGATGGAAGGCGGGTGGGGGGTCACCCGGAGCTCCCCAGCACCCGGGGCTCAGCCTGGAGAGGGACGATGAGCTGTGGCTGCTGAGTCTCCCCAGGGGAAGGTTTTTATGAGCGTAGAGCAAGGGAGCACGTTGTCCCCTTGGTCCCTCTCCTCTGTTTAGGAAACAAAACCTAGTTAAATCCACCCTTGGGAAGGGCAGGGGTCTGTTATGTAGCTTCCAACTCCTGAAGGCTGAGAGAAGGGGAGGGGGAACTGCTTCTTTTGGAAATAGTATTTTGCTGTGACCAATAAACCTGCAATCTGTTTAGCTTGCATCTTTGCTTTTTCATCCTCCTTTAGTGTTGCAGCTGACTGCTTTTAGGAACTAGGATTGACCAGAGGCAGGAATGGGAATGTTTCTTTGCAGGCTGTGTTTCCTGAAGCTCTCTTTCTGAAGGTGATCCGTCTAGGAGGTTGTACTGTGAAGTTAAGATGACATCCCCCACCCGTCTGATACAATGCTTTGTCAAGGAAATTCCAGGACTTGAAAAGGGGTCTGCGTTTCCAGCTCACAGTGGCAAGGCCTGATTTTCGATTACATTCATTATAGGCCCTGTCAAGTTTTGCAGAAGGCCGCTGAGGAGCCAATTAGGAGTTTTACAGTTCAGCAGCTTCTTATTAAGAAGCTCTTTGCAGAAATACAATGGTTTTTATTTCTTATAAATGTGTGTCACCGGGTGTTAGGCCTTCGGTTCAGCTCTGCGCTGGCAGAGGATTCCTGTCTCCCTCGTTCTTTCGAGTGTCTCTGCCTGGGACCGCTCTTTACAGCCAAAAGAGAGGAAGTTGTGGGCCAAACCACCCAATTCCTTACGTGATTTTTAAGTGTAGCAGCTCACAAGACTCCCTGCTAGCATAGGTAAACAAATGGGTCCCCCAGCCCGGAACTCGCGGCGCCCGGAACGCTGCGTGCGGGGGCGGCGACCCGGCCGGGTCAGCGGCGGACCGGACCGTAGGCGGTGCCGCGATTGGTGGGCGGTGGCGCGCCCGGCCTTGCTATTGGTGGGCGGCGGTACGCCCGCCC